CTATACTATGGTACCTTACCTCTGCATTTTTAACCCAAAAATATTTATTCGATTTTTAAAAACAGTACATATGGACACATTCTTGATTGAGCAATCACCATAGGTAAATGAAACAGGAGCAGAGGAGTAAGTACGTATTGTCGGATGGTGAGGAAGGTGATTGCATGCAAGGAACTAAGTAATACCTGATCATAGTGACAAGAGTGGAAGCCAGGAAAAGTAGCATCAAAACTTGGTATAAATGGACAAGTACTAGTTGTGAGAATAAGCTGAATTCATGTGTGACACTACAGTTCAGAGAGAGAGTTTAAGAAGCTGGTTTGCAGACAAGCTGAGAGGAACATAAATAAATACCTGCAAGCAAAACATGAAAGCGGGTCATAAACCTGAAAATTCCAAGATATTTTAAGCTGAGGCCGTGTAGGGAGTCAGGGACCAGGGAAATAGGACCACAGACATGAGGGAATAGACAGAATCCACTTTGGAAATGAAACCCGTCACATGCCACTTGTTGGTGTAACACCCACTGAAGGGCGTTTCCTCCCTCGGCCTCTATGGGACTCAGTGTGGGGAGCATGACAGGAGGTGACATGCAGTCTCATTGGATGTGGATCAGAACTGTGGAGATGTGAAAGTCCTGAGTAAGAGGATTTTTGTCTTATTTTCTATACTAAAGTGGAAAATTTATATGAATTAAGAATTACATAATTTTAAAACGAGAAGGGAGGATTGAAACTTTACAATATTACCTCATTACCTTCATGATAATCAAGTTGTTACCATCCTATGTCCATGTTTGTGAGCCACACTATTGGCTAGATGCTTTGGAAATTCTGAGAGCAATTTAATGGCTCTTCTGTTGTTGTTGTTCTTACTATAACTTAAAATATTTCCCCATAGAAATATCATTTAAGTGCCAATAATTTGAATGCTGCTATCGTGCTGAAAACACACCTGAAGATCAAGAACTTGAGAAGAAGTTAAATGTGCTATGACTTTGTGGAAAAAAGCTAAATAATGTGGCTCTGTTGTCAATTTAGGGAAGAGAACTCTGAGGGGAAAAAAACACTAAAACAAAAATGTGCTTCAGTGGTTATAGATCTATGTACACTGGGAATATATGTCCTGTACTTCACCTGATTCCTATAAGAAAATTTCTTTAGAATTATGAACATTTTGATTTATTGAAGTTCTTAAGGAACTTCAAAAAACCAAACTATATAGTTTTGCATTAAGTATTTTCCATAAAATAAAATTGCCCTATGCAAGTGAATATTAATGTTGCAATTGGGAAGTAAATCACAAGCTGAAACTAAAAAAACTACAAATTATTATAAGGTCTTTAAAAATGTATGTTTACTGATTTTAGAAAGAGGGAAGGAGAAAGAGAGCGGGGTATGTGCTCTGACTGGGAATCAAACCCCCAACTTTTTGATGTATAGGACGATGCTCCAAACAACTGAGCCACAACGGCCAGGGCAAATTATTATAAGGTCTAAGAAGGAAAAGGTGAAAAGGTTAGGGTTAATAAGACAGAATAACAAAGAGGGAGCATCCAAATTTAGATTGAAGTATCATAAAAGGTTTATCTGAGAAAGTAGTATTTGTGCTGAGACGTCATTTGTCGGGTAGAGGAGGGAGAGACATTCCAAACAAGGACCTCAAGCAGGATAAAGCTTGATGCACTTGAGAAACTTAATGCCTGGCTAAAAGGTGAGAAGGTACAGATGACAAAGGACTTTATAGCTCATGGCAAGTAGAAATGAGTGTTCAACTCAAGGAGAAAGACTGTTCTGATGCTGACTCTGCTAGGTATGTGAGGTTCATTAAATTACTTACTTCTCTGTGCATCAGTTAAAAATTTCTGCATCAGTTAAAAAAAAGTAACATTGACAGGACTTATAGGTTGTAAGGTTTAGTGAGTTAAAGTATGTAATTTGTTGTATCATTTTTAGAGATTTATTCTGAGTGCAGTAAGGTGCTATTGCAGGATTATAAGTGCCACTCTCTAATTTGTGTCTTAAAAGATTACTCCAGCTTCTGCTTCTGTTTGTGGAAGTTTTGATGGGAATTTAAAGATTTCCAGGGCAGCCTTGGCTGGGCGGCTCAGCTGGTTGGGGTGTCATCCCCTACACCAAAGGGTTGCAGGTTCTGTCCCTGGTCAGGGCACAAGCCTACATTGAGTTCAGTCCTGCGTCAGGCACATACTGGAGGCAACTGATCACTGTTTCTTGCTCACTCCCCACCTCCATCCTCTCTCTAAAAATCAATCAAAAATATTCTCAGGTGAGGATTCAAAAAAAAATTAAAGATTTCCAAGGCACTTTGAATGATTAGGTTTTTGTGCATTAAAGTCGCAGATTCATGTGAGAGAAAAATCAAAATCAGGTATAAATTTACCCCCAAAATAAGATTAAATGATAGAAGACTAGGACATGATGAACAATTAGGGAATTAAGTCAGGATACCATCATCTTAATGATGAGATTTTAGAAGCTTAATTATTGATTCTTAATTGGTTGGTGTATACTGAATAGGGTTTTAGATATAGAGAAATGCAGAATTCCCAAGCTAAGACAATCCACTGTAAGTTTTAAGTGAGATCATATACTAAGTCCTAAATAAGAATATTTTTAAAGTCTTATTAAGATTATTAATAACACATTAGGAATATTTTTAATGTGAGATCATGTAAGATTAAAATATAATGGAATGGGATAGGCTAAGATTTTTAAAATAGGACACAAAATGTAATCGCCATTAAAGAAATAATGATAAGTTGGTCTTCATTAAAATTAAGACTTACATTCATCCAAAGATAACCTTACAAGAATAAAATATCACTACACCCTTGGAGAAGGGCTGAAGATAAAAGGACTGGCAGTCCCACCCTAAGGGAGTGCATTTGAACAACTGCAACTCCCCCTGCGTTGCTGAGGGGCATGTAAATCAGTACGACCACTTTGGGAAACTATGCAGCATCTACTTAATCTAAGTGAACATATATTCTATGGACAAATTCTTTCCATAAATGAGTATTTAATATCAATTGTATCTCAATAAAGCAGCAGGGGGGATGAGTATTTCCCCCCATGAAAACACGTACAGGAATATTAATAGCAACAATAGAAAAATGGTTAATGAGTGTGGGATATTTATATAACCAAATACTTCATTGCAATAAATAAATACAAAACTACATGCTACGAAAGGATGAATCTCATAAACCTTATGCTAAGGGAAAAAGCCAGACAAACAGCTCAGAAACAGGCAATACTAGTCTTCGTAGAGGTTGGACTGGCGATTACTTTGGGGGAGGAGAATCAACAGGGAGGGAGAATCAACCGGGAGCCTTCTTGTGTGTTCATTCTGTGTTTCGTTCTCTACATTTTGTCAAGCTGAATACATTATATTTGCGCACTTCTGTCATTTAAAATATTAACAAACGATGAGTAATAATGTTTTAAAGGTAAAAGACATAAAGAGATTTGTCTTTTTAGAGGTTTTTTGTTTTGTTTGCTTTTAACTTCTTTTTTTCCTTGGATCTTTCAAATAGACAAAGAGAATAGGCTGAAGGAAATTGAAGTTGGAGTAGGAAGGACACAGAAAGTACGAAAGGACATAGAACAGGAAAATGGACAGGAGACAGGTGTCTTCAGACATGTGGGTTGATAGAAAGAACTGCGAGGAAATGAAATAAGAGATAAATAAGGTGAAAACTATAAAGATAGTTTTTTACACTCTACAAGTGCTGCACTGCACACCATTTTTAGTTTATATGTAGTAACGAGCTGACAGTTTGGCAGCAGTCTTTCTTCTTTAGAACTCACCTGAATCCTGAAGTTTCTTGTGGAACGCTCACTGTGCCTGTTTCAAGTCCTGACTTCTGTGTGACGCCCTCCCCAAAGTGAGCCCCCTGGAGAGGCTCATGGGTTACTTAAACAAAAAGAAGAAATGTATCTCATTTTAGTTTGAACAGTTTTAAATAAAGTATCATACTGGATATTCAGCCAGTGCTGAAGTTCCATGTCCACCTCTTTACAGCTTCAAGAATTATATTACTTTCTTTCATATTATCAATCTGTATTATATAGTTAGGTTGTCTTACTCTAAGTCTCCCATTGACATTTCTTTTGTATGCATATACTGAAATGATTTATTTAATAAAAAAGAACATCTCCTGTGTGAATTTTAAATTTCCCTTATTAAATATTTATATTTTCAAAATGTCTTTATTTAATTGGGTGAGGTGCTTGGTGCCATTTCAAAATGATCTCAGGTGGTAGATGTAATGACATATCGAAGATTTGACCTTTAGCATTTTAGGATTCTATTTGTCTGCATTTTCCTCTGCATTCAGTCTTAATTTATATGCAATTTCCCCTTATAACTTAATGAGTGGATGGAGTTGGTATAAGATTCATTAACAAAAAAGAAAATATATATGAATGCATATTATTTCTGTTCAGTCTGACTAGCGATTTTAACTTAATTTATATCTCAACTATGACAAGTAGAAAATGCTTTAAAAAGCTGATTGGAATTTGAACAGACCTCATTCATTCTCACTAAGTGAATAGACCCTGAGTCTCCTAAACCGATGATGCCCATTCTCTTCTCATTTCTCTGCAGTCAGCTTATTATATTTTTATTTACCCAGAGATACTTTTTTTCCAACTTTCTGCTATTTCTTTTAAAGAAAATTGAATGTAATATTTACACTGATATAATTCAATTAACATCTTGCAGTACCTTACTGTATGCCTTGGTAGCATAGATAATCACTTGTCTGGGTAGCTTTCGGCCTAGAAGCAGAGAAATGGAATAATTATTATATATATAACATTGTTATGTAAAAATTACTTCCATTTAGTCATCTAAGTATGTCTTTATTGATTTTTTAGAAATGTGTATTTCTAACTGGACATTTTTGTTAAACAGCTTACTGGTCAATCAGTCTACATATTTGTGTTTAAATTATTTATTTTTGTATTTTTCAGTTTACACAAATCATTATCCCAAGAAGAAAATCTGAAGGATCAGTTTAACCATACCCTTAGTACCTATGAAGAAGCTTTAAAGAATAGAGAGAACATTGTTTCCATCACTCAGCAACAAAATGAGGAACTGGCTACCCAACTGCAGCAGGCTCTGGCAGATCGAGCAAACATGGAATTAGAGCTTCGGCAGGCAGTGGAGGCTTCCCAGGCGGCCAATGAGAGAGTTCAGAAGTGAGTGAAATGATCTTGCACTATTTCAAAAGTATGAAACAAAGCAAAAACACTTTCTTTTAGCAACTATAATATATTACTTATTACTCATACTACTAATAGTTTAAGAAAAAAATTCATTGAGCCAAATGGACTTTTTCAGACTGCCTAGCATATGCATATTTGGAATCAAAAACCATTTAACTTGGGAATCACGGTTACTGTGTAAGGCAAACCATTTTTATGTGATATCTGATCCTCCTCAGTTCATGGAAGCCATACTGTTAAAATCATTTCATAGGTAATAAAATTATTAGCGAGGGGAAGAGGCAGTCAGTTTACCAACTTGACTCATTTAGCTTCATGATAATCCTGCTTGAATTCAGATCATCTGTGGTCTTGTAATCTGAGATCTCTAGGCACATAGTATATGGTACAGTGTAATTAATTGTCATGTATTGTTCTTCTGAAGTATTCAGTACAGATTTTCACAGTGTATAGTTGTATTTGCTTATTTTCAATGATATTTGCATTTTTATTAAAATTTAAATAAAGCTGCATAATAAATCAGTCCTTATGATAGCCAGCAAAATGTTAACAAATAATTTATCAGACAATGAATTTACTTGTTAATCTTCGGGACTTGAACATTGTAGCAGAATTTTCTAAGGCAGTTAGTAATAGAACTTGTCATTCTAATTGAGCCCTTCTTAATGTATTGTTAACAGCATTACATAATTCACATACCTAATCGCCTTCAGTTTCTAAGACATAAGTTTTTCCTAAACAGTTTTTTTTTTAGTTTCACAGCATGAAGAAGTAGCACTAACTTCAAAGTTCCTTATTTCTCACTACTTTTTATTTGAAAATAAGTCATCTTAACCATTTTCCCAACATCCCTGAAATTATATTTTGAGTAATAGCCCAAGGTCAGGTAAATCTGTAGTCAAGACCATTTTAAGACAGATAAGGAATTATGCTTATTAATTTATACTATCAGTGTGCCTTGAAACTTGTGATTTATGGTGTTATTTTTTTTTGTAGATGTAAAGATTAGGTTTATATTCAATCAGAAACTATCAGTTATTCAAAATGTACATTAATATTCTAAGAACACAAAGATATATAGATAGATCTTATTTTTTGTAAAATATAAATCAATAAATTTTCACAGAATCTGAGATAGCTGTTTGCTTAAAGTCTGCAAATAATTTTGTAATCTGAAAACAAGTTTCAAGTGTAATTATTTTTATATTTTTATGTAATTCTTTATATGTAATTTTTAAATTTCTATACATAGCTAAAATTGCCTACAAGTGTTTCCCAGAGAGCAATTAGATTTCTAAAAAATATTTTGAAATGTTATCATATAAACCTTTTATGTTTTAGATCTCATCAACCATCATTGGCATTTTGTAGAAGAAATAACTTTTTTACACCAAGAAGTAGAAATAACATGATCTCAGATAATGCTTTAAATTGAATAAGCTTAACCTTTTGAAAAACACATTATATTGCCCTTATTCTTCGTATTTAACCACACAGATCAGAACTTTGTAATGGAATGGCATCAATTCATGGACAGAGTTTAAGTGCAACAATTATGTAATTTACAAGAGTTAAATATTAAATTTTAATTTAAATTTTTAATCTTTAATTCCAATTTCTAGCAATAAACCTGGATGAAATATTATCAGGCTTTCCTTTTACATTCAATCCACTATATTTCATTTTTAATTACCCTCAGTTGGGCAGTATATCTTCATTGCAGTTCTTGCGAACATCAGTCTGTTTTATTGAATTTAAGAGGATAACCTCCCAGGACACCAATTTATATGACTCGTTAGATGTTATTAGTATTCTCTAGCCGATCTTAAGTTTCTATTATTAGCAGTTATTTTTCAGTGTCTTTTGTAAATATCCCAATATTCCAGGTAATAATTAAAATTTAAACTAAAAAAGTCCATATTTCCCTTTTTCCCATCACAACCAAATTTCTTGAATAACTGATTTATATTCACTATCTTGAATTTTTTAATTCCCATTAACTCTTCTGCTACTTGATACACTATGACTAGCTCCTGTACTGAAATTATTGTTCTTAAGATTACCAGTAATTTCTTAACTGTCAAATTTAATGGCCCATTTCTATTTATATTTCTAATATAAAACTAATACATGATCATGGTAAAAAAAAATAAATAAAGGTGATCATATGTCTTCAGCAGTATAACATAGTGGTCTAAAAGCTCACGCTCCAGATTCAGAATGCATAGGTATGTGAACTTTGACATTTTGTTTCAAAACACTGTTCTGATGTGGATAATAATATTCCTAATTCACAATGTTATAAGGATTAGATAACACCTGTAATGCTTTTAGAACAATGCTTGTGACATAGTCCCTTCTTCTCATCATTTTACCCTACAATGCACTCTCCTGCTTCAGAAGTGCTCTGCCTTTTCAAGACTGATGGCCCTTATGTATGTTGGTCCCTCTGGAGCCTTTTGCTCTTTTCCTCCATGAGAAACTTATCATCCTATGAGATCCAGTGCAGCATAGAGGGTAGAGACAGGCTTTGCAGTCTAGTCAGACAGACCTGTGATTGAATCCCTACTTTTCTACTTCTCATGAGATTGAGGCAAATTACTTAACCCCTAGAAGGAAAAGTTCTTTAGGTAAAAAATTCAGACAGTAATAGTGGCCTCACAGGCAGGATTAATTTGAGGAATAAATTGGATAGCATGTAAAATGGCTAGTTCAATACCAGTACCTTTATCACAAGCATTCTGTAAATTATTAGTATTATCGTATTCCTCAAACTAGCAAGACTACTTCAGTTTCCTCTTCTCTACAAAGTCTTCACCTTTAAAGTTAAGTAACTCTCTTCTGTGTGTTGTCATAGTATTTTTATTGAAAATTACTCCCCAGAAAATAAAGCCCTTCCCCCATTCTTCTGAATTTCCTCCCTCGGTTAATGGTTTTCAGTAATTTCAGTGCTATCTTTGTTCCCTCAATCTTACTGTTTGCATTCACTTTGTCATCGATTCCTGTTTTGTCTGCGGCTTAATATTTTCTGATACCCTCCACCCCAATCATCGCTTGTTAATTGCATGAATTCAGGCCCTCATCATCACTCATGTAGACTATTGAAATAATCATAAGCCTAGTTTACCTGCCTGTAGCTCCCTCAAGTGTATTTTCCTCACTGCCACCAGAGTTGGTTTTTCTAAAACATAAATCAGGTTATATTACTTCCCTATGTAAAACGTTTCAGGGGCTCTTCCTCCCTACAAGTTAAAGTGCAAACAATGCAGCATAACCTAGGAGGCCTGTTACTAGCCTTCTCCCATTTTTCTAGTATCATTTCCTCACACAACCCCTACCACAATATCTCTACACACACTATTTCTTTTTGGAACATGTTCCTCCCTTTTGGTACCTAGACAAATTTTTGTTGCTCATTAAAGTCCAGCCTAAATGTTACCCCTAAAATGTTTCCTTAGTTTTTCATCCTTTATTGTGGTCACAGTACTTAGTCCATACCTTTCTTAGAGGTCTTAGTCATCTATGTGTAATCATGATTTTGATTATCTGTTACCTACCTACTCCACTCCCTGCAAAATTCTCCATCATTGAGCTTTCCCAAGACATGGACAGTGTCGTATTCATCTTTTTATTCCTACCTCCTCCAAATACTTGCACAGATGCCTGCTGTAATGTAAGCACTCCATAAATGCTTCTAAACAAATGAACTAGAACAAGTTAATAGTGTAATGGAATGACAGAACAAAGTAAAAGCTGGAATACACATGAAAATTTCAGATGTGCTATAATCTGCTTTAAGCCTTAGATAAAAATTTATTATGCCAACCTACTACCCAGAGTTTACCAATTTCACAGAAAACTCTGACCTCTTATGCCAACATCCTGTCGTGACACCTCCTCTCCTTACATTCTCCTCACAGTTGGCATATCTTACTTCCTAGTGGTCAGCTTTTAACTCTTGTTCTGACCACCAACTTCCATCAAGTTTAATTTCATTGAAAAGGCCTGAAATCTTCAATAATAATGGAAAGACACCACATACTTTTTCTAAAAATAGTAGAATTTTACATTTATATTTAACTTTAGCCCTGACCAGTGTGGCTTAGTTGGTCAGAGCATGCGTCGTCCCTTACACCAAAAGTTTGCAGTTTCGATCCTTGGTTGGGGAGCCTATGAGGTGCAACCAATCATGTCTCTCTATTACATTAATGTTTCTCTCTGTCTCTCTCTCCCCCACTTCTCTCTCTCTTAAACCAATGAAAAAATGTCCTTGTTGAGGATAAAAAATTATATTCTATTTTAATTTAGAGTCAAAAAAAACTTCTTAAATGTTTTAACCTATAGAAGTATTCCTGGAAAGAAAAGTTGTACGCAATTACCATCCATAAGTCAACCAGTATTTATAGGCAGACAGTGACTTACAGAGTAAAATATAACAAATGCCAGATTTCATTATTCAAAAACAGCTTCTTGGCCCAGGTATTATAAATCGTATAGTTACACCAGCAAAAACCCACCCCCTTGGGTTTTCTCCTCATGCGCGTCTCTTTAAAAACATATGTGCTTACCGAAGAAGAGCACATTGTGGTTTAGCTTTTAGATTTTCTTTTGCTGATCCTGGGTGCCCTTGGTTTGAGAGAATTATGCAGAAGTAGATGAACTAAAAAGCAAGTTAAGAACACAGGAACTTTGTAAGAAAAACTCTTAGTAGTTTTTCCAAGGACCATTCATGATCCTCAATTATTAAAGAGAACACTGACACCAATTCACTAATTGGTGCTTTTATTATCACGGGAGACTTAAAACTCCTTGGTTCTTTATACTGTCTTTATTTTCTATCTATTCTTCCATTTATAGGTAGGTTTCTTATGTCTTAGAACAAAAGTTTTCCAAAGGATTTTTAAAATATATATTACTATACTTAACATGCCTAAGTGACACATAGTTACTTAAAATAAAAGTATTTACAGCCA